TCTGATTATGCCAAAGGAGTTTGTTAATCGGTTGATGCTCTTTTCAATGCGGCTCAAATTATAAGAAAAAAATATCCACCTCCGCGCACCACTTCCTCAACAGTCACCTTTACAGTCCGTCAACCAACAAAGCAACGATAAGGAATTGCCTATTATTAAAATGAATACTATATCTTCTGCTATTAATGAAAATAACTTATCTTTATCAAATAACAACAAAAGGAATGCTTGAACGAGCATTTTAAAACAGTCAGTTATTTGCCATAAGCTAGGTCTCACGGAGACTTGTTCCCAACAATATCGTGATAAAGTCGTCCACTTCATACAGGCTTTGTGTTCAGCCCTTGTGTGCAGTTTCATAGTAATGCTCATATCGCTGTAATAGAATAAAATAAATACCGGCTTCCCCTTCGGCTTTGAAGGCATATTCGTCTATTTGTTGATGTAAATATAGATAATGCTTCTAGGTTTTTTTAAAATGATTTAATTGTACAATGGCGTTATTAAATTGGCGTTTCAAAAGAAGGTACATACCTAATGATTTTGACTTTGATTGCGAACAAGCGACCGTCGCGAAGGTCGGTTGTAGTTTAACCGCGAAATAAAAAATGTGCTCGATCCAGGATTTTTAATTGATTTTCGACTTATGCTGTTGTAAATTCTTATCCTTATTTTAGTATCTGTCAAAAATGCATATTAATGTTAACCGTAATATAAATTTGTGTTTTTTTTTAGCGTGATTGTTGCAGAGTAAACGAACAGACGGGGCCCTATAGGGCTGATGTTCAGCCGGGGTTGCGGGGTAAGCGCAATTAGTGGCCGCGGCCACGGCCTAAAGCAGGAGAAGGAACGGGGGGTTTTTAGTCAAAATTAATATGCTACCTTAATATTTCAATAAAACCAGATAAATTATATTATTTAAAATAACGATTATTTACTTCCAAGCTTATTTCTGTACTTTAATCAATGTAACATTCTAATCACTTTGAATTAAACAGTATCAACCATTAAAATGAAGTATAAAAATCATTTTAATAACAACCTTCATAAATATTAGAAGAATCCGCTATAATGCTCTCCGATAAAATGAACACAAAAAATACTACAAAATACCAAAACCATCGAGTAATACTTTGGTAACCATCCGACCATTGTCTGCGGTAAGCAAACAATTTATTTCCCTAAGAGTTTAGACTAGCTAGACCCCCGACTGACCATCAGTTATTAGTTGAGAAAATATCTGCAGTATCTAAATGAATGACGTGTGCTTTTAACTCCACATACGCGCATCGGCGCAGTACCTAGTGGAAAAAGTACCTATTACATAATTTGTGTAAAAAAACTAAAGGTAAGGCATGACGACGGTGATGGATCTCCAGTCCTCACTTATTTTTTTTTTTATATATGAACGGAAAACAAGCATACGCATTAGCAATCAGCCCCGCCCATGGCCACCCGCAAGAAAGGAGTTACGAGTGCGTTGCCGACCTTTTGGAGATTACGGATTTGTAGATTTTGGGATTGGAGAGAGGAAGAATTGGGTCTCTGGTAACCTCACACATACGGTGAAGCCCTACGCTGTGGTTGTCTCACGCCGGTTTTCTTTAGGGCCTTGACATCACTCCGTTAGAACCCGTCCATTTGTGCCGCAATATTGGTCTTCTACAGAAGCTATTTTTGTCCTAATAGTCCTAAAGGATTCGGACTTATGGGAAACATGGTCACTTACGATTTCGTAACCAATTAGTGTTTAGAACTAGGACAAGTCTATTCCAGAACACTATGTTTAGTATCAAACTTTGAACTTCGTAAATAGAGAGTAATTTGGTTCAGTAACAGTTTCGGGGGAAGTGAGATGAATTAGCTGAAAATGGTATCTAGTTCACTCCATTATTGATAGTTTGATCTTTATTCGACACCAAACTAAGACAAAACTATTGACAAAATAATTAATTCAGACGAGCAATAAATTAAGTCACGTTAATATCTTTCAATTTGAAAGCGTTTGTTGGATTTAAAGGCGATTAATCTTGTTAAGGGGAGTTTAGAAAAGCCTGTAATTGGTTCTGACAAGGGATGTTCCTACCCAAATCTGATTACGATCGAATTTACTGGCGCTGTACCATTTTTTTCATAAAGGCGATGTTGTAAAGTTTCATGTACGAAAAGATTGATGATTTTGGAGAAAACGAGATTTCATTTAGGCCCTCATTAATACACAATTTGGGAAATAAATAGTCATGAAGTACTCTAGGCCAGTCAGTCTAAGATAAAATATGCCAAGAATAATTCGGTAAGCTTACTTTTACAGATTTGGAGATTTATGTTTAGAGCAGGCATGCTAACTTCAAATCTTAATTAAAATCCCGAACCGATACGAACTTCAAGAAATGAGCGTACTCCTTCTTAAAAGGTCGACAACGCACTTGTGGCTCCTCTAGTGCTGCGAATGTATGGGCACCCCATGGGCGGCGCCGATCGCTTAACATCAGGTGATCCGTCTGCTCGTTTGCCTGCTATTCAATACGGTAGTTTCCAACTAGTCAAATTCAATACTTTTATCCAAATGTTAAAAACGGTACTTTTCTATGAAATTTGTATGAAAAACTGAGGTATGACGTCATAACAGTTTTGCGTCAAATAGCTTACTTATTTCTGAATAATGAGCTAAAAAAATCTAAAACTTAGTGTATCGATCGATCGATGAATAAAAGTATAGTTATTTTTCAATATTTTATTGTTATAAAACGTTGAATTAATTTATTTTTGACCTAGGACACTACCCAATTCTATGAAATTGCAAATATACATTCAAATTAAAATAATCAGCGATACATAAAACAAACAATAGGGAAATAGTTATTATTATGTAAAATAATTAAAATACTAAAATGAAATAATGCGTGATACAAATAATGACCATTCTAAATTTAATTCTTTGGACTTAAGTACTATAACATTAACTCCCTTAAAGATATAGTAAAGTAAGTAAGTTAATACTTACATACATTAATGCTCATTACAATAATTTGATTTGTACCTCAAAAAGGGCGTGTTAAAGAGAAAGTATCATTCCTACATTTTTTTTGCCCATAAATTTACGTTTATGACATCTTAAAAATTCTTTACGAATACAAAATATTTTCTCTTTTGTTCAAGTGCTTTATTCGAGCGTTTTAAAGCGGCATAATTTAGGGATTGTTGGGTGCCATTACTTTTTATTTTCGGCTCATCCCTTGATGGAGTTCACTGGGTAGTATATTAGGTCCGTTTTGTCTCTTTTTTTCTTTTTCTTGTTATCAATATATGGAGAAATAATTTCTCTAATTTTTGTTTCGTGAATATTTGAAATTGAAATTGTCATTAAAATAAAGCCACTGTCATTTATTAGGTTTAAACCTAATAAATGACAGTTAGCAAGTTAGCAGTTGTAATTTTAATCTCGATAGATATAACTACAAAATAAAAAAACCTTTTTTGGATATTATTCTATTACATCTAATTAAATTGCAATGCATTTTAATGTAAACCAATTTTCTAATTAAAACTCTTAGAGAAAAAAATGCAACAATATTTTAATAACAAGAAATTTAAAAAAGTACCTACCTACTCATAAAGCCTTAGTCGAAGCAATAAAAAAATATTTAGCAGGGAACGGGGTAGTTTTTAATGCAGTAAGAGTATGACACTCCCAGTCCCAGTCCAGGAGAGAAGAATGATTTTCCCTTTAAAAAGAAAAAGAAAAAAAATACAAATCAAATGTCAATCGACGATTCCCTAAATAAATTACTTTACTTGACATCGAACATTCTAGAGTTTATGTATGCAGGATCATGCGCCAATCACATAACAATCTGATCGGAATTTCATATGACTGTTTTCAATTAGTAAATGAGTACATATTAATATTTTGATCGATAATAATGATTTGTTCATTTACAAGTATGGAGTGTGACGAAGTAATACATTTTATCATTAAAATTAAAAAGCAAGAACAGCTATAATATTATTTAGTATTAAATCTATGTCAAATTAAATTAAGTTTTTTATAAAAAGTATCAGATAATAAAAATTATAACCCTTGAACTAGAACTAGGGACTATTTTACCTTATTTATTTATTTAATAATAATATTATGCACATATGTTCGTACATAGCTTGACTTAATGCCATTGGCATTATCTTCCAGTCTGACCTTTGGGTGATGCAGAGATGAGTCAAAATGGTGAGTGGCAGATCATTAGACTAAATTTAAAGAAAAAAATATAAAAAAGACTCTATATATAAGTGGTTTAAATAAATAACACAACAATATTATATGACTTAGTACAACCTCAACGGACCGTAGTATCAAAAACTCAATAAATTTTACGTCAGCTCACTGAAATAAACAAAATTACAAATAAAATCAACCTATTAAATTATACTACTAAGACTATAACAACAATGATTTATTTCCCACGCCCTGAGACAAAATGGCGAATCTAAAACTGAAAACAATAAAATTCACAAACATAATACTATAATAAAAATATACAGTTTGAGGTTAGCAAACAAACTTAGTAAAGACCGGGTTTGACTCCCGACTCGGTAAATATTATTGTCAATTTGTGGGCAGAGGTAATTTATCATCCACGTTATAGAGTGGTTGCCAAAATTGTGGAACTGTTTAATGATAAATGTATTTCAGTTGACTGACCGGAAAAAAGTAAATGAAATCTGATAAAAAAGTGTACAAATAAATCACTTATTTTTTCGTTCTTTATTTGCCGTCAAATATGGTAATAATGGTATCTTTGTCAAATGTAAAAAAGTTAGTTAAATCATTTTACAAAATAATTCAATAAATAATTTGGGTGGCAAAATCAACCATTCAAATGTACGGCTTGGAACGAGCACCTAGCTTTATTGAAAAACAAATGACGGACTATTATATAATTTTCTCGTTTCAATAGTAAATAAACCTAAATATATGTGTTTTTTTTGTGAGGGAAAAATCATCATATGACTTCTCCCGCCCAGGGCCGGGTGGGAGGGAGTGTCAGGCTCTTACTGACTAAAAACCCCCCTGTTCCTTTTCCTTCTCTGGGCTGAGGTCGCAGTGGCTCATTTCGCTTACCCCGCAACCCCGGCTGGAATATATGTGGTTTGATTGGTAATAAATGTTTTCCAATTTTGACAAAAGTGCTACTTCTGAGGCCGGAGGCTTGAATTGTTTTCACAGTTTAAATGCTACTTACGAAGTATCAGTTTTCAAAAAGTAGAAGTCTAGAATAAAGACCGCTAGGAAGCAATAACCACAACCTAATACTCAATATCTCAATATCTTAATGTAACATGACTAGCGTAAAGTAAGTACTATACTGTAGGTACATGTGCCTAATATGTTTGCGGGAACCACAAGACTTTACGGTTCCTATTATTACAGATTTAATCTCTAACAACGTCGTAAAAATTTAATACACATCCTTCAACAACAATTTACAATGTTTTAAACTGCACATAACATTGTTGATTCCGTTTGTGTTGACAATAACAGCATAACAACAATATTTGTGACAATAACTTTAAATGTTCTGTCATTAAGTTTGCCGTTTTGTTGTTGTAGAAGGGGTTAGAACGTCTTCCTATAAACTTTTCCTTTATAGTCGAGCGAAAGATAAATTGTCATGTACTACGTTAGAAGATTTTTATTTTATTTAGCGAGTGGAATTGCTTGAAAACTGGATTTATTTTAATGTTTTTTATTTTATTTATTATTTATTTTTTGTGTACTGGTCAGCAGACGGATTACCTGATGGTAAGCAACCAGCGCCGCCCAGCGGCACTCGCAACGGAGGAGTTACGAGTGCGTTGCCGACCTTTTATAGATTACTGGTGATTTAGGCATTCAGGAAGATTGGGGGAGGGGAAGGAATGGGCCTCCGGCAACCTCACTCACACGGCGAAACAAAACGCTGCGGTTGTTCCAAGCCGGTTTTCTGTGAGGCTTGGTTAGATATTATTATTTTCTTCATTTTTATTCTTTTCTGGTCTTGGTACTAGTGTTAGTACATTCGCATGGTAATGTGATGCTGGAAATTAATATTTTAGTTATTTTACTGCTGTAAGTCTGTTCCAGGCCATGTTGTTACATACTAGTCATCACCGCTATTGCCCTTGTGGTTTTCAAGAACTGCCAATGTAACTTTAGAGAAAAGACAATGATGATTCCTGGCTAAAGAGAATGACCAATCTTCTAAATGTAGCCTAAAACCCATCAGATAATGGACTGTCAAAAGCAGTAAATGAACTATGTATATGATACAAGTAAACATCAGGTGCGAGCCCCACTTCTAGCTAGACTCAAAATATTGTGTTAAAATTACCAATTTTTTTTCTTAGTCGACCGATCAATGTCTATTGATATGTTAAGTGGAGAGAAAAACACGTGTCGAGTTAGTTTTTGGATGGTTTGTTTGTGGGTTGTGGGTGTGTTATATTATTGCATTTCTGCTACTCAGGCGATGCGTAACATATGCACTAGAATCATCTACTTCATAGCGAAACTAAATGTAGATATTTTTCCTGTGCTCCTAATTTAGTATCTATCAATTTCCACAAAGTAACGCTATTTTTGAATAGGAGGCAAACAGCCTTTCGTATCACCTGATGGTATCTGATCGGCACCACTCATGGTAACTTACAGCATAATAGGAGTGGTATGCGCGTTACCGGCTTTTTAATGTGGACAACGCTCGTTTCTTGATGGTTTGAAGATCACATTGGTTTGGAAATACCGCCCTCGAAAGATCATTCCAAAATTTTGCTGTGCGATACAGAAAGTTACGCGTTAACAAATTGTTTTATTGTGGAAACGAGAGCAATCTCGAATATCTTCAGCGATATTTTCATTACTCTTGTACTCGTAAAGCTTAGCAGCAATGATATAAAGAAATCATCTCGAATAATTCTCTAACCCTAAATAACTCGATACATAAATTCTATCTCGAATAACAGCATCCAATAAGATCCCGCCATAAATACAGTTCATCAAATATTTGTACGTTTTGATATAGAACCTCTTCAGTTATGTACAGTTCTGATATATATGTGTTATGTATGTACGAGTTCTTTGTATGGTAAGGTTACGTGTGGTAGTAATTTATTTATATGTTAGATTGAATTGTGATTCCAAAGCGTGGGAGAGCCATACTACGCATGAATGGGTCGGCTCAACCGTAGTGATACCACGGCCTCACAGAAAACTGATATGAAACAAGCACAGCATGTATCGCCGTGTTAGTAAGGTTACCGGTAGCCCAACCCGTCACTCCTCTGTTGCGGGTATATATAGGCGGTGCTGTTTGCTTACCATCAGATAATCATTCTGCTCGTTTGCCGACTTTCTATATAAAAAAATAATTGTAGATATTGGAAGTTTTACACTTTCCCTGCCTACACAGTAGTCACACTTTCCCTGCCTTAAGTGTTAAGTGATTGGAAATTGTTAATTTATATAAACAATATAGTTTTGAAACATTATTTTACACTCAGATGATTAATAATTTGCAGTTTTCGTTTAAAACTCGAATAGACTGTGTGTGTGACTGTGTCAAATCTTTTACGAAACCATCAAATCTGATTTGAACAACGATCTTTTAACCACATTATTTATCTCTTCTAATAACTTCCAGATGGTCCATTGGCGATGGCTGTATACAGCTGCTCTGTGCGACTTCTATCATTAAACAACTTTCTCTTTAAATATTATTTCATGTACATATTACACCAACACTAAGAGTAAAAACCGCAATAACTTATAATACTCGTGAAAACCAACTCAACACATGGCTATGATGTAACTAAGCCAACACACTGCTACGAATATTCCTTCACATCATATTTCAAAGCTCAAAAATTGTTCCAGATTTTGAAACTACAATTTGAACAGTATAACCCACATTTGTAACTTGAAATACAAGGTGTTGCAGAAATATAACGGACTTTATCGAGAACATAATTTTTTTGGGTCACAAAATATGTGTATGAAAATTAAGATTTTTTTATTCTACGAATATTTACGTACTCATTTCAAGAACTATTTTTAAATCATCAAATTTGTAAAATTGAACAATTTGGATTAATATAAAAATATCGCCAATACTTTCAAGTAACGGATGTTAGTAAACAATGTATGTGCTTGTATTTCCCTAACTAAAGATACGATTTTTATAATTTAATTAAAATAATTTTAATACAGGTTTATTAATCAAGAGTACAACATTACGAACTGAAATATTGTACAATGGTTTAATACCAGTGAATCTATTTCGGGCTTAGTCGAAACTTTTAAATTTTCGTAACAACCTGTGTAAAGCCAGATGTCAAGTGTTCTACAAGCTAAGAAAGATTCGTAGCTTCGTAGCGCCGTAGCACCGTAGCACCGTAGCGTCGTAGCGTTTTATACAGAAAGTAATAAAATATTCGTTGCGGTCTCGTATTTCTTCGTCCGTATCTTTGTTAGTGTTGTTCAAGTGTAGATAAGTCAAAGTAATTATAATTAAACGTTTGTTTTATGAGTCTGAGTGTTTAATTAGATTTATTGCGGTACAAATTCAAGATGAATCTATGTGTTAAATTACTTTGTCTGATAAAGCAAATTGTTTAAAATTTAGGTAGGTGACAGAATTATTTATTATTTTACCAAAAAGTAAAAAAAAACCATTCATAAACTCTTAATTTTTTTCGTAAATATGTATTTCCAATGTCACCGAATTTCAAAATACCGATTATGCAAAAATTCTCTGAAAATAATCCATACAATACAGCTTATATACATGAAGAATGCGCAATCCACCAATCCAATTTAAACCCACACTAAAGACCGCTGCAGACCATAAAAATATACTGACAATATGTTGCAGAAGATTTATTAGAAAATGCACGAAAGCGTGCAATTTTATAACGAAATATATTCGTAGCCGTAGCGACATCGTAGCCACGTAGCAATCTCGTAGCAAGTAGGTATTAAGAATTTGAGTTATTACGTGTGAAGGTACTAAGTGAGTGATGGCGTCATAGCATTAAGTTTATGTCTCATATTGCAAAGTTGAAGAGTTGTGAGCGATGAGTAAGAAATTTACGTACTTACATTAAAAGTTTCAGAGAAAGTATGCGTGAAAGGTAACGTGTGGATGAAAAAGTTTCGTTTTATTGACTGTTGTTTTACCGAATAGGTATGCGGAGTAATTGAATTTCTTTTTGTTACTAACTTACAAAGCATTCTACTACTAAAGGAACTTTATTTCTTTAATTTTTTGTGAGTACCTAATTGCCATAATTTCAGATGTCTTCCAGATTTGCAATTTATATTTTTTCTTAAGATTACTTACTTGCAACTTTAATAAACATTTTGAATGAAACTTTGACTTAATCCAATTGCAACTGACCTCTCTGTCTCGTCTATAACAGTATCCAGGTCAAACGTTCAGTCTGAACCTAATTTTCAACCAAACATCGACAATGCATTAACTGGGCTTCGAGTTGCCAAAGTAACGTTTTGAAACATGTTCTAGATCTTTACTTTCTCTTGAGTGGTATGTTTAAAAAAAAAGTCACAGAAATCCAACAAAACCTATAACAATTATGATGCAGTGTCTTTTTATAAAAATACGCTTTTTATTTAAGAAAAAAATATACGTATACATACTCTTACATTTTACATTTTTACATTACTTATTGTGATTTTTGTAATTATAAAGAGAGCTAGTATGTAGTTGTTATTATAACTAATGAAGTAACGCCTTAGCCACGGAGTTGATTTCAGAATTTAACAAAAAAAATTCATTGTTTCATTGATATGAATTAGAGACATGTCGTGGTGGCCTGGAGGTTAAGAAGCCCGCTTCCCCTTAAGAAGCACTTCGCTCCGGTTAAGAAGCACTTATATGCTGTTAATGATGATGTTGAGTTACAGACAAAAAGTCATATATTGAAATATTCGTGTTTTTTATTCCCTATTCAATTTTAGGCACAAATTCAGTGTAAGCAAATGCTACACAAGATTTTCCGAAACTGGTTCTTACTGAATTATTTACAGACATAGTTTGAACTCGACTCGGATATTTGAAAGTCCGCTACTAATTCAGTATGTCATGAAATATTTTGGGACTCGTTTTGCAGTTTCAGTTGAAACCTATTTGGACAAACGTTAAATAATGTTGATAAAAACCAGGTGTCTGAGTCAACATTTTTGATGCTTCGTAACTTTTGTAACATTGTTCATTATTTTATTGTGAAATAAGTTTTGTAGAAAGTTTGACTAGATTATTTAATTTTGATATTTATTTGATTTTATAATTTTAACTATCCCAATACCTGTGTTTCTACGTTTTATTCAATTTTAATGTATTTGACATTTCGACGACGAGGTTTTGGACGTTAGTTTTATTGCATATTTTTATAATTTGATTAAGTTAATTCTAATGTGACACCTTACGTTACATATTGGACATAGCCATTAATAAAAATATTTGTACGCTATTATGGCAAAACATAACTGTGCTAAGTATAATGATTTTATTTAACAACTTGCATGCTATATGTGTATACACGTTTAACAAATAAATGATTATTATTCTTTATTCTTCTTATTCTTTGATTTAAAAATATATGTGCTTTGTATCAATTGTATTTATTTTGTAAGTGTGTTATTGTGTAACACAGCTACGTATTATTAGTAGTTTTTAGCTAAAACTCATGATGATGTCCCGTCAAAAAAAGGGGAAAACAAAGGTTTCGCATGCGAGAAATTCTTGGTAACAAATTTTAGAGTTCTTATTTGTATAACATATTTAAGTACACATTTGTGAACATGTTGTCAGAGATATTTTTGGTACAAAAATATAAATTTTGCTGTTTCCATACAAAAATAACCTTGGGACGTGGATGGGGTGTGCAGTGGACCGGCAGTTTTGCTTACGCTACGTTTACTCTCAAAACGATATCAAACCTTTAGTCATGTTTTGAATAAAACTCAAAATCGTTAGTGTCATCATCTCCATCATGACCATCATCATACACGTGATAATGTTTTTATCAATATAAAAAGTATTTATTTTTTTATTTCATTACTAAATGACAGTTATGTAATATTTTATACACAGACACCCACACATAAATGACGTAGATGTTTAGAATTGAATTATTAATTTTGTGTTTTTTTTAATAATTTATTATTAAGGAAATTTAATTTAACATTTCCATGTTGTTGGAAAATACCGAAAATGATTTTCAATACTAAACAAACTCAGTAACCGAAATCATAAGATCGAATTTCGATAGAAACTTTTGAATTCTGCTGCTTCCGAAGCTTCTAATAACAAGATACAATATTGTAAACAAAATTCGACTTTGAAAGTCTTAGGAAAGTTTAATTAAGGCCCAAATTTTTGCTTCTTCCGTGATCTTGAGGTATATTTTTTTTTTTGGTTAAAAGAGAATTTACACGCAAACGATCATTTAATCATCGGGCTTTGTTTGTATTATATGCTGATATTTTAATATTGAAAAAAATCTTATTAGCATTATTTTTACCGAGCCTAGATTTATCTCAGTTGTTTTTATCGTTCGTTGCAAGTGACGTAATCGTGCTCTAAAAGGACTATATGCTTTTGTCTGTGGGAAAGTGTACAATGTATTACAACAAATACGTAATATGAATGTTCCATTTAAGTATATTTTATTTTTAGGGAGTACACCAGATGGAGCATGTTTTTCCTTTAATCTACATAGTAATATGTTTGTAAAATTGTATGGTTAATGTAACTTAATGATCTCTTAAGTCTAATAATTGTTTGTATATTTACTCAAAGTGTTACCTGTATTTCACCGTTATCTTATTTAAATCAATGTGTTTTCATTCGTTTTGGTTATTAATCGAGATGTCTCGATTTGTCAAATATCATTGATACAGACGTTGTTGATCTTGACCCATCTTGTGATGTCATGGTTACTTGAACGTTAATCACCACACAAACATCAACTTTATTGTCGTTTGAGTTTAAATGTCCAACGTGTAATTATTGATACACAATCGGTTGATGAAATACAACATTTACGAAACGCTTTTCCATAATTTGTAATAAAAAATGCTGTTAATTTAATTGAAAATTTAATACGCTTTTTTAATGTTCTGACTTAAAAACGATAAAAGAAAACTGTAGTATTATAGTTCGACGAACAGTTTATAAATAATTAAATAATATAATCTACACTTACCTGAGTATGTGAGTAGAACATTGAGAAGTTGGATACTATGACAGGCACGGGGAGAGCGATGGTCAGTACACCGGCCAACGCGCAGAGAGCTCCCACAAACATGCCCAAGTATGTTTTGGGAGCCATATCCCCGTAGCCAACAGTAGTCATCGTCACGATAGCCCACCATAACCCCAAGGGGATGGACTTGAACTGATTGTCAGGGTTATCCTGTAAACAAAACAGAAAAACTTTGTAAGAAACCGATATATAGGTATGTGTACTTTTTTGTTTTTGAAATATTTGTTATGTTAATGGAATTGTACAAAGTCTCGAAATATATAAAATAAGTAAATGTTATCTTAATTCGAAAATTATAAGCTTTCGAAACATTAGTAATCGATCGAAACCAATAAGATTTATTAATATTAATTTCAACGTTTACAATTTTTCGATAGTTGAAAAGTACCTATTCTTATAAAATCGCAACTAAAAAATAAAAAAAGATAACTAAATTTACTAATATCACCTTATAAAGCCTACATACAAGTGACTCGTATTACTATTTTGTATCTAATTAGTAGATTTAAAGATACTTAAAATTGCAGAAACTTACAAAAAAGATTTACAGCTAAGCACATAATAAATGAACAATGATATTATCCCACAAAATTACGAAAAAAAGACCACACAAAACCAGTCAGTAGCAGTTAGCCTCACCCGAAAAGATAGTTTAATTTCCTCGAAAGGTCTCAGAGGGAAGGTTTAAATTAAAATAAGTCGGACCGCGAATAATTATATTACAGAAATCACTGAACCGATTTTAAATTAATTAATCCTAGTAATTAAAAACTCTTAGTAAAGTCAATATCTCTACCTCATTTTAACTCTGGATTCTCGACTGTAAAATAATTAAATTTATTCTTGATCACTGACCCGATTCATGGGTTAAATATAACCTCTTTGCGGTTATGTATAAACTTCATTATTAACACGAGGGTTTGGTGAAAGTTTAGGAAATGTTGTGGCTCGGAGGTTGAGTTGACCTCTTCTTGAAAGCTAGCAAGTACCAATGTGAACTTTTCCGAATTATATGTACTTTCTAAGACTGTTAAATATCGCTAAGATATGGTGAAGAAAACATCTTGAGAAAATCTGGACTTATAATTACAAATTTTAAGTTTCAATCCACTTTGAGTAAGCATGGTAAACCATGTTCATTCCTACTCCATGTGAGATGAGGTTTTTGAACAACAGTGCTAGTGACAGCACCTATATAGGCTGGTGATAAGTGTATGTTTTATGAGAGCAAATGCCTATTTGGACACAAGTTGGAAAATGATGGTACAAATATAATAACTACAACACATTTTCAGTTTTTGCTACTTTTGTTATGTGGGTCTAATTAAGCCGTCCCTAAATGCGATAGCTTATAAAGTCTTCGATCTACATTTATAATGATTAAGTTGCAGAACAGCAACTATAGGAAAAATAACTCTTTTCTTTGAATCACAATCATAATTCATACCAATCGTAAAAAGGACAGCAACTAAATCGTAATAAGAAACAAGATAGACACATAAATATACCACCAAGTTCAACTTACAAAGTAGTTTCACATGACTTTACCTCATCCTAATAGACCATTATTTTTGTAACAGACCCCTTCAGCGTTCTCCTATCTTGTACCAACATCTCAAACATATATAAACTGCGATCAAAACACGATTATTATCTTTGAAATATACACAAGCGTTCAAAGGAGTACGGAATTAGATTATTCGTTCCCACACCTGCGTATATTGCCCTTTCGATTACAGGACCAAAGAGATTGCGAGGAAATTGACATCTAAACGAAAAAAGGATGGAACGTACATTCGGGACCTCAATGTACATACAAAAGAGGACTAGCCCAATCAGGGCCGGAATTGGCTTTAGATCTTTTTGTTGTTTGAAGATTGTGATCCTTATTTGCTGGTAAATATAGTGTTTATTCAGGAAGCTCTTTGTTAGAACCTCGTCAAGTTCGTTAATGGTTAAGTCGAAATTTAATTTATAATACAACCAGCTTTTTGCCCTGACTCCGTTTGCGTGGAACAGTGACTTCCTGCAGATTATTGGTATAAAAACCATCCTATGTCCTTTCTCGAGTTCCAAGCTATTTCTGTATCAAATTTCACAAATTGGTTCAATAGTTTAGGCGTGAAAAAAAGATAGATTGACAGTCAGAGTTACTTTCGCAGTTATAATATTAGTTTGGATTATTAAAATTTTGTATAACTTACAATTATTGTTGTGCTTAAAAATTCTCACTAATGCAATGCAATAACATTAGCAATGTTAAAAAAAAATATTATCTAATTTTAAATAATTACACTTTTCAGTATATTGTATTAAATTGTTCAAACAATAAAAATAACAAAGAAACATTTTATTTTTGTTTTGACGCAGGATTTTAATCATGGAATGTAGCAAAACATCTGTTTAATAGCAGAGAATTGTGTGTTTTCCAACTGGAATTAAAATCAATTTGCTACAGAGCTGTAGTGAGAAAAATGTTAGAAAAACATCATACGTTCACAGCTTGTAATGAAAAGATAAAAAGAAAATATTGCAGTGTATCGAACGAACATTTTATTTATTTTATAAACAAGATTGGAAATTGTGATACGTATTAACCACAACGCATTTTTTTTTACTTACAAGAAATAAGTTAGCAAGTTTAATAATATTCTTATGTTATTTTAGTTAAGTCCTTTTGGGTATAGTGCGAATAGTCAGGTAATTTTCAGTCCATTGCAAGCAATTCTCGTTTAAAGTAGCACACATTTTATTGAATAAAAAACGAGCTTTTTTTTAAGGTTTCAGAAATATAAACATAGTAAAAAAGTTAGAAGGATCAATGTTCTTATCTGTCTACTGTGAATCATCTAGCAACAATATAAATAAAAAAAATCACAAATATCACTTACATTTTTGAACAATATTGTTGCTTCATAATTCTAAGTGTGAGGCTTATGTTAAATACTCTAACTTAAAAAAAACACACTAACAGCTTCAATTTATAAAAGTTTTGTTTAAAACATGCTATGCCTACGTCCAATGTCACTTTTTCCGAGTTATACGTACTTTCCATTATTATTTAGACACCAGTGACATATGGTGAAGGTAAACATCGTGAGGAAACCTGGACTTATAATTTCTAATTGTAAGTTTGAAATTGCCAACTTGCATTGAGCAAGCGTGGTGATTAATGCTCTAACCTTCTCCGTATGAGAAGAGGCCTTTGCTCAGCAGAGGGCACTTATAGACTGATGATGAAATTATATACCAAGTAACTCTACCGTTCAGTGTAGCTTATTGTATTATTTAGATACAAATATTCATATAGCAAAAGCAAGAAGACACACACTCATACATATGTATTACTTATCTCAAGCCATGTAATAAAGGGAGCACATTGAAAAAAAATACATTGGCAAGCAAAATTTCAATACAGGCGGCATATTGGTAAAGTTTCGTAACGCATTCTTTGGCATTTCGAATATAGCAGCTGCGCGTTGGGTTTATTTAGTGATGTTATATTATCGATAGTTTATTGTTATACCAATACCGTGTAGGTCCTATTGAAAGTACAATTGAAATCTGAGACCTGGTGTCTTTTTAAATTTAGTATTGAGCAGGTCTTTGACCGCTATCAAGCCTGTTGGTGAGCGTTGATGCGATTTAAGATAAAGCACGTCTACCCATATACAAACTATTTACTCGAGCCTTGAGGACACACAAATTATATACCCTTCAGGGAACACAGATTTGTAAAAAGATCCGGAAAAATAGTTTTGATAATTAACCTGCATGTTGGGATATCCACCATGAAACGATGACGTTTTGCTGATTGTCTAGAAGTACTACAATCGAAAACATTTCAATTTGAGGATCTCAAAAAGTAACTCCGTGCTGGAGTCAAACCCATGACCTGTTATATGGCAGCCAGTTATCCAACAACCACGTCAATTATAACAGTAATAATAATTACGTATGTCGATAATTGTCACATACACTAAATTATCATCATCGATATGTCGATAGAAGCCCCATCCCTATATTTTATAATATCGCCCAGTGTATTACATACCTTGTGTTAAAATAACCGTGAGGCGGTGTACCAGACTCTGTGTTTATCTTCGCAATTTTTATATAATGGTGACCAAAACTTTCGCCATAAACATGGGATACAAACGGACAACACAAACAAACCTTCTGGCCGGCGTGTCCCATCTTAATTAGGTGATCATATTTACCCTAAGCGTGGGTGAAGGTTGGACCAAAATATATTTTATTACGGGATTGACGGACGTGTTGTTAATTGTGTTACAAAAAGGTATGTTTTACAAGGTTTTATTTTAATTGTATACAAAGCAATATATATGTATATGTATATATGTTTTTAAAGTGAAATATTGCAACAACATTTTGAAACAGATATCTTCAAGAGATTGAGCTGTTCTTGTGTATACACGTTTAGTTTACATAACCATATATGCTAAGATGTATGGCTTGCTTTCAGCCAATAACGCTGTATATAGGTACTTTAGGTTAAAATGATATTTGATAGAGAAAATTATCAATTTACTACTCCGGCCTTGGATAGAGCGAGATGGAGTATTAGACTTTTACTGCCTAAAAACCACCCCTTTCATTCTCTTGCTCCAGTCCGAGGCCACGGTACAATTTTCACGGCATCACCTACAAACCTGTGGAAGTCTTTAAAGTGCACCTGGAATCCGAAATCAGCCTTCTTTGAGGCATTCATTCACAAGCTGCCAACCAAATGTGCAATTATAATATAATATTCCAATAACCTATACAAATATCCGTAAATCAATTTATTTGCTCGATTTGTTTAAAATAATTTATTGATTGCCCCTTAATAACCGAGCGAGAATTTAATTGAAATATTGTTGGTCATAAACTGAATACCTCGATATGCATAGTGAGTGTGTTTGGGTCCCGAACGTAGAAACAATGAAGAAGGCATTTTTTTATTTCCTATGAATAATATGTTTTTTTTGAGAAATACTTTCTCTTAGTACATAGAATGAAAATAAGTCAAGTGTGAAAGAAATCCATATTTTTGACGTGTGAAAGATTATATTATCTTTTAGATGTTTGTTAATTAAGAAAAGTATTAATCTTTTACAGATCAAAGTGAGTATTAAGCATAGTAATAAAAGTGTTGTAAGATGTCATAAAAATTTGTTTTTATGTAAAATATTTTGTTGTCTATCAAAAACCTTACAAGCAGGTTAATAGGAATATTAGGTTTTTGGTGAAATTTTTCTGAAAAGTCACGAAGACTTTCCCTTTTCACAGCACCTACGCGTCTTCCGTTTCAGTCATCTACGTAGAAAACTTTTTTCAGCTGAACGAATTGACAGTCAATTAACTTTCATTGGCCACTCAGTTCCGCTTGATGGCTGAAATTCAGTCGTTTTTCTACCCACTTCTGTACACTTTGGAGGTGATATTCAGAGCGTGTATTTTTTTCAGCTTCACGCGATGATTTCATTTGGTAATTGATCGTTTGTTTTCATGATATTTCAATTTTCTTTTGTAGATGTTAATTTTCTCAAACCAAAACCATGTGTGTATTATTTTCTATTTTGTTTTTATATTACAAGTATGACTTCAGTATAAGATGAAGAGCAAGTCTCGTCTTAAAACATTTGGGTGCAACCGATAATAATTTACCGCTGCCTCGGCCCGGAACAAAATAGGAACGATGTGGTTCTTAGTCAGAAAAAAACTGACTGAGAGAGTCAGACTTTGTTGCCCAACCCTGGAATGCAGAAGTCATCGGACAAATGCTCCCTCCCCTCCCCCTTTTAAGAAATAAAGTCTACAAAAATCTTATGGCTAAGTCTAAAGTAATAAGTTCTTTCAGAAATCGACCCATAAACTTGAATCGTGCACAAACACTTAAAGCTTTGGCTAGTGCAGTAGTTACTGATGCAATAACAACAATATATGAACGGAAACTCGGCCATTACAGTATGCAATAATTTAAATTTAATGAAAATGAAAATAATATTCGGAATTAAATTTTCAGCGATTTATATAGTGTTTCAGTGAAGTGGCTGTTTTGCGGGCATAATCACTTTGTTGTCATGAAAGCGGTTGACGTTATGCAATTTTCACGAAATGTAGCGGTGAGTTTAATGTGTTTGGAATGGATAATGTTATGTCTTAGTGATATTATGTATTTTTATTTTCTTTTCTAATAATGTTCCTTATTTCTGTTAACGTTCATAAATTCATATAATTGCAATTGCAGGGAGGCTCCAATTCTCTATAAATACGATCACTCAATAAAAGACTTTCACGTGGTAACACCCATTTTTTCCAATAAGGAAACCTTTGTACTCTACTTTACCAATTATCTGACACCGGACATAATAAAGTCAAGTATTTGGTAATATATCCAGAACTACAATAGGCTCAATATCCCTCACTATGACATAAATGAATGTGCGTTGCCGACCTATTGTGGGTTCTTAGGGATTTAAGGATAGGGATTTGAGAATTAATGATGGGGGGAAGGATTTGGCCCCAGTTACCTCACTCGCACGGCAAAACAACCTAAGTGTTATTTACATTACATAAAAAATGTAAAAGATATATTTATTAAACATAAACTGACGTAGTAAGTTAAAAATATCAAGTCAAAGCGATTAAAATAACTTTGCATACGTTATCTGACGTCTGTGTAGGTCACACTGACGCCAGAGTGTAAAATAAATAAAAAAATGGCAAACGAGGCTATTTTTACGAGTATGTATATGTATTTTTAAGGAAAAAGCGACAAATGGAACGCTGTACCATCACAATCGGCACTGCCCATAGACATTCGCAACGCCAGAGGAGTTCGTTGTTGTTTTAAAGAGCATTATCTTTAGAGGGATAGGGATTTGAATATTTGGAATGAGAGAGGGGGGTTGGCCTTTCGGTAATCTCACTCACATTTTTTTTTTAAATTATTTATTCATTCAATTTTATCTTACAAGCTAACAGATGATACATCCAAAACGCTTATAAGATTAATAGTTCGGTACAACCTCGTCATTTTTGTTTAATTATATATAATTTCATTTAACAGATAATTAGAAAGAAAGAAAGAAAGAAAACACATTTATTCGACAAATAGGCACACAAATACAAGTATATAAAAATACATAATAAGAACACAGTATTTATGAATACAATAATAAATTAATAAACAAAACAAGAATAACATATAAAGCATTAAAAAAGAAAATAAAACGCTAAAATAATAACAACATTCATGTGCCCATGCCAAAAGGGCCTCCACCTCAGCATATAGTTGAGCAAATATGCTCAACGCTGATTTTCAGGTGGCACCCTGCACTGACTCACGTCACGGACGGCGGTACCGCCAATCAGTAAAGAAAAGAAGTAAGGAACATAATGTGAATATAGAAGAAAGTGTGCGTGTGTGAAAATATTATCCAAATTATTCAGATATGAATACATTTTATATCATAATAAGTGAATACAATCTTTTTTTTAAAATATGATACATAAGGGAGTTAATTGCTACATGTTCTTTTTTTAATTAACTGGGGGTTGTCGAAAAATGTTTTTGGCTATTTGTAGGTATACTAGACAGGTACTATTTAGTGACACCCGTGCTGAGCTCTCGTTCACTTTGTCGCGTACCCCCTCAAGGATACAGTTGCCCTCCACCAGCCACAGGACACAAAACTCAGGCAGCAAAGTTTACGAGTAGTGGAGTGATTGTAATAAAATAAATAAATAAAAGTAATGGCGAAGTGCAAGTAGTACAAACACCGTGATAACTCACACAAAAATGCAAAAACTTCCAAGTTAGTGTAAAAAGTAAGTAAAAATTGACTAATTTGGAATAATAAACTGAAATTAGATAAAAGACTTGTCAATATTCATGTCGCCGAATTTAATTTGAGATGTCACAATAAAAGATTTTAATTTTAACCTAAATGATTTTTTATTTTTCAGATCTCTAATTGGAGGCGGAATATTATTCCAACATTTGGAGGCCGCATAACGGAAGCTGCCACGAAAGGCTGCAGTCCTGTGCTGAGGAATGGCGAGCTGCTGAGCACATCGCCTACCCTCAAGCTCCCGGTGACTGCCAACCCATGCAAGCCTAGCGTACAGGTATGGAGGACACTTGTGTTTTATCACGTCGAACATAAGACAGGCGAGGTGGAGTTTACGACGTGATTTCATTTTTAAAACATTGTGTTTGTTTAAAAAAGGCGTAACATGACTCCTCGGTGGAACATTGTAGCAAAATCGTGCGCAAGCATTCTGTACTCTTTGTATTAATCTCCCAGTGCGTGCCAAAAGCCTGGGGCCTATGACTGTATCTGCGTAGTTTAGTTTTGTTAAAACCAAACTTTCCACCAACCGCACACGCAGTTCCTCGCACAAGTAGGGTCGTATTTTATATAAGATTTTCAGACGATAAAAGCAGCCTCTCACGCAGTCCGAAATAAAACGTTCAAACCTTAGACCTTCGTCCATTACAAGGCCCAGGTTCCTCGCCTCACTTACTCGCTCTACACTTTGCCCCTTAACATTAATGGTTACGGAGGTGCTCATTGGTATCTTATTCAATAAGCCTGGGGTGCCGAATATCATAAATTTGGTTTTAACTGGATTTAAAATTAACGAGTTTCTTTCTGACCATTCAAATATACCCTCCAAATCTTTGTTAATTTGTTTGATGGCAAACTCATAGTCTTGTGGTTTAAAGGATAAATATATCTGAAGGTCATCAGCGTACATGTGGTATTGACAATGATTGATTTCTTTTACTATGTCTGCGCTATATGTGATAAATAGTGTGGGGCCTAGAATTGAACCCTGCGGCACGCCTTTTATTAGGGGAGTTGTTTGTGACTTATTAATATTTCCCTTTTGGTCTCGTAACTCGACGTATTGGGCACGGTTGCTGAGGTAACTGTCAAACCATTTCACAGTTGAAGTATCAAAGCCATAAAAAGCCAGCTTCGATAGTAGTAGCGTCAAATTTATGGCATCGAAAGCCCTGGAAAAGTCTAATAACACCAAAATGGTACAGAAGCCCTTGTCCTGAGCAGATAGTATGTTATCAGTGACATCGAGCAAAGCCGTCGTCGTGCCGCGACCTCTCCTAAAACCAGACTGTAATTCAGGGAGAATGGCATTTGCCTCTAGATACTGTGTCAGCTGTG